CCCCCGAACTCAGGTGTCTCCTTTTACGGGGGAATGTTCACTGTGCAGTCTGCTCTTCCGGTCCTGTGTTGCCCGTTTGATTGCCCTGTTACTCCTCAACCAACCCGTTCTGCTCCCCCTTCGACATTGCATTATCCTTTCTGTTTTCCATTTTTCATTATAAGCTTTTTTCAACCGTTTCCCCAATTCACACAGCTCATCCATCTTATCTAGCCTCTGTTTGTCCTTTTCCACCGTGTCCTCGTTGATAACATTCTGCTTGATGTACTCCACCCCCTTTCGCCCACCTCTATCATAGGGGGGGTACAGGCACGACTTAATGGTTGGTTCAGCCCGCAGTCCAAACCCATCTTGAGAGAAGAATAGTTGAATACTCCGTCCTTTTTTTTTTTTTTTTTTAACTAATGTTACTAATCTATATTCTTCTCTCAATCTATCTATGTATATTATTCCGCGTCTATCTCATCATCCTCTCGCTACTTTACGTATAGTACGGGGGAACACCAACCAAACCTGGAACTCTCCCCAGCCCACAGGGTGGGTTTGCCATAGCCAATGTGTGCAACGTGCGCCACTGCGATAGTCGAGATGGGTGATTGTTACAAGAAGAATAGTTGAACACTCCCTGTCTTCTTTTTTTCTTTTTTCTTTTTTCTCTCAATCTATCTATGTATATTATTCCGCATCTATCTCATCTATCTCATCTATCTCATCCTCTCGCTACTCTATGTATAGTGCGGGGGAACACCAACCGAACCTGGAACTCTCCCCAGCCCACGGGGTAGGTTTGCATCGCAGCTGTGGTGCGAGAGCAAGGCTTGTATCAGCCCCTCAACACGATGATGCAGGGTGATCAGGCATTGCCAACAGGAGGGGAACCGGTGATGCTAGTGCCAAGCATCTTTGGCCAATGGCCAGTCACTTGCACCTCTCCCTACCCCCCTCCAACCCTACATTAGCGGTGTCTAATGGCCAATACCGTTGCTGCATAGCAACCAACAATATTGGCCAAGGTCCTGCCAATGCGGGTTGGGGGCCCAATGGGTTATCCCTAGCTGGTAGAACACCAAGCATGCCCAGGCATGTACGTGAGCCCGATGGGGATTGAACCCACGACCTCGTGAATGCAACTTTTGTGCCTTACCAACTGAGCTTGGTCCGCAGGACACACTCCCTGTCTTCTGTTTCTCCCTTTGTCAGTTTCCCCCATCTGAGGATTTTCCTTTCTATGGACGTCGGGCGGTACATATTTGTTTCGCCTCTGCATTCAGTTATCAGCGAGTCTTTTCCATAGCTCTGGTGGGATTGTAGCCGGTACTAGAAGCTGCACTCTGGTCTTTTGCGCAAGCTGCTCTGAAACATTTCCAGAAACCTGCAGGTGAAACGATGCCATGGCGGACTGCCTTGTTGTGCATTGTGTGCAACAGAGAAGTCCGTCTGGTTAAAACATGGCAAGCTGCTCAGTAACATTTCCAAAAAACCTGTTGGTGAAACGATACCATGGTGTCGTGCATTGTCCTGCATTGTGTGTGATAGAGAACCCCGTGGTTAAACCATCATGAACCATCCCTCCAAGCCTAATGATAATAATGGAGTTGCACATCGCATTGTGGATTTGCCTAGTTTGGCAAGCATTTAAGGACCCTTTGGTTTGGTGTTTCGCTTGGAGGTGATTGCTATACTATGGACAGGTTTGCGAGGTCACTGGACGGGAAAAGAGAAAATTTCCACCATTTCCACTGAATACGGTTGAACTCCAGAAACGGGCATCGAAATGGCTCCGGATGGGCTCTGAGCATGTGATGAAGGTACGGATTTTTCTGACACAGTCTCAAAGCTGAAAGGATTTCACGTTCCTTCCTTGCCGTGATTTGGTCTGCGGACCTGTCTCTGTTGTTGTTGCCTGTTGTGCTGTATCGTATAACTGAGTGTTGCTACTGAAGTCTGAACCCGGAACCTCGATGTCGACTTACCTATGTCCGTACCTGTTGACGTACCGTGTGCTTGTGCACGTTGACTGTTCCTGTGGAGTTTTGAAACTGAGACCTGTTCTTGTGTGTGTGTAAAGTCAATGTTTGGTACCATTTGTGCGGTAAGTGTGCCTCCAGCAAGTGTCCAGAGGGTTCCAGGGGCAACGTGGGAAGTGCCCCGAGGAAACAAAACTACAGAATTCAATTTTGCAGATTCATTCGGTGTGGTGCTGGTTCGTGAAATCAAGCAGTGCGATGCGTAGTGAAGAAGACAGCCATAGTCTTGTGCCATCTAGTGGCTGTTGTTTCTGTTCCTTTTTAGAGGGAAATCGTGCTGTTTTGTCCGGCACTCGTAGGATAGAGCTTTTGCTTGGTGGAGATTGAGCCGTCGAGTAGGTGCATACTTCGATGTTCAGGGAGAGATCCTGTGTAGAAGAGAGAAGGAGACATGCTGGTTGTGGTAGAGCTTGTGGCACATGAAGACTGCATTGAACTCTGATCTGCATCTTTGTAGCAGCGACATACAGGCTTTGCATTGTGGTATGTTTCATTGAAGTTTTACCTTCAACATGCCCGGACAAGTTTCCTTAACCTGTAACCTGGAATCTACAAGTGTGTGAGACAGTGGGGCTGTCCCACCATAGCTGTTTCATCTGTACTTTCGTGATGGGTGTGTGGCAACTGGCGTCTGTAACTTTGAAATTTTTGCATTGAGAATCGTGCGGCGATTTTGTCGAAGCAGCAAACTTGATTTCATGTGTTTGGTGTGATCGCCATATCTGCACGCTCACATGGTTATGGATGACGCATGAGTGAGAGTCTCGTTGCAGAGCATAAAATCTTTGTAAATCAACCAGGATGCACAGCTGAGGGTAGAAGAAGCCTTGGCCACAAGGCTATGCTTTCACATAAAACGCTGGGGAAAACGATAGAAAGAGCGAATAGTACTGAATATTGATATTGATAAGCAGATCAAGTGTCCAAATCATGTTGGATACAGAAATGGTAGGTGCAACTCTGATGCAAAATGACCTGATTGGCCACTTTATGGCCTCTTTCTTGCTAAGGCAGCTTTGGCGAATATGTTCTATCAAGCTTCCTTGTAGACCAATGCCGTTGAAATTGCTAGAATTCAAAATTTGGCAAGGGCTTCATGGGATCTAAAGACCTTGGCAAACTGGAACCAAGCGGGAAGATCTTAAAGGCTCACGTACATCCTACTTTACTCTCGAGTCTAGACGCAGGAAACAGGCCAAAAATCAAAGAGAAATCCAACCAATGGCTGAATTCATGGGCTTATGGAAAGATGGGCTTCAGATTTTTATTGCCCAGTGTTCTTACCCCTGAGTGTGCTCTCTTCCCTCAATCCGGGAGATTGTGTTCTGGACACCAACTCTTATCTTTTGGTGAAGAGCTGGTGTGTTTATGTGCGTTCCTTTGTGCGTGTGTTGCAAACTGTCACCACAGCGACCCCTATTCCCCCCAGATGAGTAGATCCAAAATTGAAACAGCTTTACCTTCCAATCTTCTATAGCAAAGAACATGAAGCACACTTAAAAAAAAATAAAAACAAACAAAAAAAGAAAACAGAACCTAAAAATAAAAACAAACAAGAAAAAACAGAACCTTACGGTTCTGCGCTGTCTGGCACCATATCCATTCTGGGGAGCATCAGTCCGGTTCCTATTCCACTGGCGAGTCCACAGAGTCACTTGTGTACTTGAAATCACCGACTCGGGGGTCTTTGGTTCTAAGTGGTCTCGTGTTCGCACTGCTAATCAGTCTCGTACTTGCTCCTCTCAGCTACTAGAACGTCAGATATGCGTGGACAACTAGTGTAGACCCTTAACTACCCTGAGCCCGGGGCTGACCGTGGACTGTAGCCCTTCTTGGTAGGATCTGCTTAAAACCTAAACCCTAGGAGGCCAATGCCCAATCCCCCGAACTCGGAACTTGGTTTCTCTCTTAATTATGGATGTGTCATATTTTCTATCTATTTGTGTCCCCCACTTGGCTGCGTAAGGTAGAGGCACCACAATTGCTCTCCTGCTTCCTCCTTCGGTCTCCTAGTTGGGTATAGGGATTTCCTAGCTAGAGCCTATAGACATACCTGTGATGTGGGTCCTACTCCTAGGCAACTCTGAATTTAGGGACTGGGTGAATCTACGGTGCCTCCATTGACCAAAATGGATTCTGTTGTGGAGTATTATTGCTATTTTTCCAACTACTAGCTGCTGCTTTTTAATTGCTTCTATGATTTTGTCGTTACGTTCTATACTCTTCCACATTTCTGCATGTCCTCTCCAGCGCCCTCTGTATTCTACCTCTATTTATTGCAGAGCCCCCTCCCACGCTCTTGAATAGACATTTGGGTCCGATCAATTGTCTCTAGCCCAGTCTCCTCAAACAATCATGTCGTGAGATAACAATGTCGTGCAATGTCGAGATAATCATTCCGGTTAGCCCATCAATTTGAAGTAATTGAAGTACACAATCCTTCATAACCACGTGTAAAGTCTCCAAGTCAAGAGTATCCAGACTAGAACAGAGAGGGGGAAGAAAAGACAGATGGAAGGAGAAGAATATTGTAGCAATTAAGTCCCTCTTCTCCTCCAGGCTTCCCCACCTCTGCCACGTCAGCGATCTGTACACAGTATGACACGTGGATGATGTAAACGCAGCCCCTTGCAGACGAGTGACCCTTCAGCAGAGAGCAGAATCAGCAGCAGCATCACATCTGGTGGGACCAGGTACATACACACACCACATCTCGCCCACACTCTCTTTCTCTCCTCACTACCTCGCCGTCGTCTATGGTCGCAGCAATGGCTGCCTTCCCTCTCTCTCCTCTCCTACTACAGCGTTTGGCTGGTGCCCACAAAACAGCCTGGCGCCAGCATACTCGTCTCAAGTCTCAGGTGCAGCATCGAAGCCACAAGCAACTCGCAAGACTGAACGTCCAAGCAGTGGCGAAGTCAACTCTATATAGTGTTGACTCGCGTTGTCCAGGGTCAGCTTCTGTCTGTGTGAGACCCCGGACCGTCCGATTGCCGCCGGCTCAGATGCGATTTGTCCCAGTTTCGGTCTGGACTCCTTGAGGCCTGAATCTTCCAGAACCTGCAGACCACTGTTAGATCATTCCAGATCGATGGCCAGGAAACCTTATGTGTTGGCTTTGACTTCTCGGATCTGGGCCTGGGTCCACAAGTTGACTGTTGACATTTCGGTCAACTATCGGTCTAGGCCTATTCCTAGGGCTTGTTTGACCCCTTTTTCAGGGCCTGCCCGTTCGTGCTTGTCTGAGGGCACAACCAGAGCCCAGCGGCTCAATTTTGGCACACAAGTTACAACATTCAATCCTGCCCGATTTCGAGTCCCACCACAGAAACTCCATTTCGGGCTTGGATTCTTAAACCTCTCTCGTATGCAGAGAGTATCAGGAGCGGTACGTAAAAGTTCACTTCTACTAAACCAGCGAACTTTAGACGGGGGTTGATTAGAAAACTGTACCTTGTACTGCTTCTGAGGTCTTCCTCTAGCTCCACTGGAGAAAAACCCGTGTTCAATTATTTTCTCTACTTGGTACCCACCACCCATTGAAGGAGGAAATGAAGATGGTCTACTTGGGAATTCCTGTCCTTCACCATAGAGTAACAACTTAGATGCGTGAAAGACTGGGTAGGTCTTTGGATGAGGGGGAATGTCAATTCGGTAGGAAGGTCCACTGGCGCCCCCTATAACTTTGAGAACTTCCCAGAGTCCATAGCAGACGGGTAGCAGTTTCTGCGAGACATTTTCCTCAAGTGAAAATTCATTGGATTTAACCCAAACCATACCTCCTTCTTTGAATTGTGCAGGCCTTCTATGTTTGTTTGCTTGTTCAATCATTTTGTGTTGGGCTTTTTTTATATTCTCTTTTGCTTTTTCGATGTCTTGCTCATAGAGAACTCCAAATTCTTGGGTTCCTAAAGCAGCCTTTGGATCTGATCTCGTGTGAGAGAGTCAATCGGTCTCAGAGGTTGCCATCCTTTGTTCAATGCATTGGGTGTCCGTTTGGTAAAAGTGTGTATACTGTTATTATATGCACTTCCAATCTTGGGTGGGTTCTCATCCTAGTCAATCTTTTCAGGACGCACATACATGCATAGGAGCTGTTGGCACAACTTGTTCATTTGTTCGGTTTGGCTGTTAGTCTCAGGATGCCGTCATGACGACATTGTTAATTTGGTGTCGTAAGCCTAAAAGGGCCCAAAAGCCTGAAAACAAGGGCCTACAGGCCCTGTGTCATTTCAGCCTGAAAGCCTGAAAACAAGGGCCTACATGCCCTGTGTCGTTTGGGCTTAAAACAGGGCCCTCCAGGCCCTGAGTCTTTTCAGCCTGAAACGGAGGGCCATTTTCAGGCCCTCATAAGATCGACCTGCCCTGAAACTCAGGCGCCAGACCAGGGTTTTAGCACAGGCCATTTTGGGCCTGTTTTCAAGACAACCTTTAGTTGAGCTTCAACGCCAGTGTCTGGCACGTTTTGGCATTGGCAAGAGCAGCCTCCTGGAGGGGCCAGCACTATATAAGACTGGCCCGCCCTGCAGGCTGCAGG